AGAGACAGCTGGTTCTAAATGATAGACTCAATCCTAAAATTCCAACCTAAACCATGAAATTGGCTCGAAACTAGAAACCGGCTGAAACTCCACAGAGAGTGGAGGGGGTCCTTCTGTCATTCTATTGTGTGTCCTCTGTCTTTTCTTTAAATAAAACCCAGTTGTTTTATTTGCAGTGATTGTCATTTTGCTGAACAAATGTGATTTCATTCCTACAAAGATAAAAGCATCTTCTAGAGGCTGCCAGAAAAGTTGGTTCTCCTTTCTCTGTTTCATAAAATTTTCTCTCGTCTGTTGGAGTTAAAACTAACCTGCTTTTAATTTGTTGAAAAAACAATAAGTAAGCAAAGTGACAATAAACGTAGTGTTAATATCATGGTGGAAGTCGGCATTGGTGGCTCATGCCTGTAATCCTAGCTACTCAGGAGGCTGAGATCTGAGGATTGCGGTTCAAAGTCAGCCCGGGCAGGAAAGTCCATGAGACTCTTATCTCCAATTAACCACCAGAAAACTGGAAGTGGTGCTATGGCTCAAGTGGTGGAGAGTTTGCCTTGAGCTGAAGAGCTTAGGGACAATCCCCAGGCCCAGAGTTCAAGCCCCATGACCAACCTCCCCCAAATATATATAATGGTGGATAATCACAAGATTATAAAAAAGAATTAATAACCACAGGATAATGTCATAATTTCTAGTTTCTCAGACATAAGCATTTAATAATTATTTGAAAGAAAAATAATACAGTTTAAAATTGGTAATAATCTGATAAGATCTATATCTATACAACTTAATTTTTATTGTTATATTCTTCTTAGTGTGTGGGAGGAGAGAGAAGTAATAAAGTTTGAACTCAAAGCCTCATGCTTGCTAGCCTGGCATTCTACCACTTAAGTCATGCTGGTTATTTTCTGGATGGGGAACCTAATGAATTATCTGCCTAGCCTAGCCTCAAACTATGATCCTCCAGATCTCAACCTCCTGCTAGACTACAGGCATACCAATGCTCAGCTTCTCACACCATTGAGACCCAAGGAACTGTGAGGGTTACATAATACAATGTGTCTATGCTAGCATCCTTGGTTCTATCATTCACGTGTGTTTTTGGGGGGTCTGTATCATGCATACTAGTCAGAATGTTCCACCCCCAAAGCAGCAAGTGGCTCTATTCAGCTCACTGCATTCTAAGTACCTCAAAGTGCCAACTGACAAAGCTGAGATGTGTGAATATATGCCTGGGTGCTTCAGGTAGCACTTGGTATTTCTTCCTGGGCAAAGTTCTCACTTATGCTAGCCCTACTGAATCCAAGTTGGTGGGGCAGACACTCTGAAAACAGAATGTCAGGATCAAATGAGCAAATTAAAAGTCTGATTTTGACAGCCTAGAGACTTCAAGCATTTTGATAAAGGCAAAAAGGAGGAGAGGAGAAGAAAGAGGCTGGGTATAGAGTCTTTGTTATAATTTACTGAATCACACAAAAAAATTAAAAAATATGCTAAGCAAATTGAAAATACAGATGATATCTCAAAGGGAGTGTTAAAACTATTTATGCATCATCCACTGGATGCACCTGCTGATATCCAAGGATGGACATCTTAATGCAATTTGTTCTAAGTCATTAGAGGAGCAATGAGATCCCAAATTGCAAACCTAATTTAAATTGCCTTCTCTCCTTTATTTCACACAGTTATGACTGAATTTCCTTGCAAAGGTTAAGTACTCCAACAATTATGCTGAAGGAGTGCTGTTTTCTATCATATTCATAGAAGAGTTCAATTTTAATCCTGTAAATCTTAATTTGATAAGAAGCTGATCTGAGAGCAACTGTGTCTAAATGTGCTCATCACACACCCATCCACACTGTCTACTTATCCGTAATCTTAACCTCATTATATGGAGGTTCACTGATAGCATTTATTAATATCATCCACTGAGTAAAATGGGTAATTTTGGAAGCAAAAAATGGAAAAACTTTCTAAGTACTCTCCATTCCAATTTATCTGGAAAAAAGAAAACCTAATTAGAAGAAATCTTATTATTGTTAAAGACACCATCTAATTTGAAAATACAGAATATAATTTTTTTATCAATCTTATAATCTCTAATTAGCTTCTAATTGACTTGAATAATCAACTTCATTTTACATCTTTTGTAATTGTGGCTCTAAGATTTTCTGATCTTAGGACATTTTTACAGGCTCACTTCAGAGGGTTTTTGTTTATTGAAGGTGTGTATCTATCTGTATTTTCTGAACTGGAAATTAAAGTTGAGAAAAAAAGTTAAAATATTTATCACACTGTTTAAAATAACTTCAAAAATAGTAAGGCCAATATATGCAAATATATCTTTAAAAAATTAAGTATGCATATATATATTTTTTGGTGGGGGGGGGGAATCTGTCATGAGGCCTGAAATCAGGGCCTTGAGCTCTTTTGCTCAAGGTTAGCTAGCACTCTACCACTTTGAGCCACAGTGCCACTTCTAGTTTTTGAGTATTTAACTGGAGATAAGAGTCTCACAGGGACTTTTCTGCCTGGGCTGGCTTTGAACCATGATCATCAGATCTCAGCCTCCTGAGTAGTAGGATTATAGGTGTGAGCCACCTGCTGCATGCTTTTTTTTTTTTTAAGAGTGAGAAAGCCAGGCAGGAAAATCTGTGAGACTCTTATCTCCATAAGCCATCAGAAAACTGGAAGTGGTGCTGTGGCTCAAGTGGTAAAGTGCTGGACTTAAGCTGAAGAGCTCAGGGACAGCACCCAGGCCCAGAGTTCAAGTCCCATGACAGAGAGAGAGAGAGAGAGAGAGAGAGAGAGAGAGAGAGAAAGTGCTCACTACAAAAAGTAGAAAGTGCTGTTCTACATTGAGTAACATTGAGTAACACACTCTTCAGATAATTGTGCTCATTTGCTTTCCACAAGTGGGCTGTAGTGTAGAATTTGAAAGTATATCAACCAGCTTTTCATTCTTTGCTATATTAAAATTCATCAGTCTATCTGACACAATATCATCTCATATTACTTAATACCACCTTCAACCTCATCAGAAAAGTCTTTAACTATCAGGAAGTTCACCAAGATGAAGACAAATTTCCCCAATTTTAATTTTCCTTTGCAAGCTCAAATTTTATCTTTAGTGGAAAATAATGTCAGTTGTCCTCTGTAATGAGACAGGCTCATTGTGTTCATTTCCAATATGTATTCTAGGTTTATGGCATTACCAAGGTCACAAAGGATACTCTTGGCTTAACTTGTTCTCTTTTCTAAAATGTAGGTGCATTTCAGCAACAGAGCCATATTCTTAGTAAGAAGGTGCTAGCAGTTTTATTGCACTTCTTTTGTGAATATCAGCAGAGGGCAAAAAAAAAAAAAAAAAAGCAATCATATCTCAGTTTTGTAATAAGTTTGACCTTGCCAATCCATTGAAAGGATACCAAGAAACCTGTTAAAGATTCATTGTTACCACGGAATAACAGATCTCTCATACACCACTCAAACCATTAGAAGGCAGCCACCAGTTTAGAAAAGTACCAATATTGCTTTTGTAGGCTGTACACATGCATTACCAATTTCATACCCATTAATGTAAAAAGATTGCTAGCTTTATTCAACTCCCAAAAGGAAAAAACATGAAAAATGAAATTGAGTTACCATGGAAAGATGGAGAATCTAAACAAATTTGATATGCAAATTCCACCAAAGAATTTAAATCATGAGTTTTTCTAATCCACTCATGTACTCCCACATTTTCTCTTTACTTGTTTTGTACAGCTATGGAGTCTTAAATTGACAAACTATGCAGGATCCACAGTGTGCTAAACAGAAAGCACATTAAGGTTGGACAGATCTCATTTCAAGTCCCAGATTCCCAACCTCCAGGTTGCCCATCCTTTTTGTCATCTTTGAGCCTGCTTTCCTAGTTGGACAGAAGGCAAATTCCACTTAAACTTTAAGCGCTAGATGTGATGCATGCAAAGTATCCAGGCCCACAGCAGGCAGGCAGTAAATGGAATTCACTCTATGACTAAGGTCTCCTGGGAGCAGTTGGAGTCCAGAGGGCAGAGAACACACATCCAAATAATTATGGCCCAGCATGGGAACTGATTAGCCACAAAAATGCAATGGGACTAAAAGAAAAATCAATGGTCTGCTTAAGTGAGGAGGGTGCTACAACAAGAAGGAGCTGGTTATCAGACCAGGAAAAGGGAAATGAAAAGAAAGAGGTTGGGGCATAGAACAGACAAGTGGGATAGAGGGGCCTGGCCAAATCCAAGAAAACAGCACACTGGAGCCAGGTCAATTAGGGCCTTGAATGACATGTCAAAGGGCATTTAAAACTATTTTCTTTTTATTCTTGTCAAAGTTTTGTTATAAACTCTCAGTCCTAGTGAGTTATCTAGCCTACTGTGACTAGCAAACCCCTAATATGTGCCCATATTTACCTATGCCTACGTAGACCCATTAGTAGTAGACACCATTAGTAGTTCTCTAGCCCATGCTTGCCTCGAGAAGGGACAGCAAAGCCCCAGCAGCCTGAGGGACTGGCTCATATCTTATTAAACAGCAATGGCATTTTCACATAACAATCCATCTTGTACATTTCTTTTATACTTAAAAATTCTTAAGGCACATAACTTCATCCAAAGCTTGCTTGCCAATAAAATTTATAGGTCATATTGCTCAATGGGGTGAAAGGAAGCATAGGGAATAGGGCCCCATGGTTTCCATTGTGGCTTCAGCCATCTGAGTCACAGCATGAATAAACTCTGAAGCTCAAAGAGACCAATTGTACCTCTTGCCCTTTGGCAGACTGCAAATGCTGTCAAGATGTGCAAGGCCAGTGTTAGTACAGCTCCATGGGTACAAGCTTTTTATCCTTTGGAAAGTTTGCAGAAAAACACAAAGGTGTAGTTAGTGTGAACCTATCACTAGCAGGGCTGCACTGTACTCACAAATAAGACACAATTGCTTTTGTACAAATCAGAGAAATCAAGTAGTATCTTACTCACCCAGAATTTTACAAGGAAGAAGGCATTTTGAGGGCCCTTTCCAAATAGTTCCTTTAAGCCACCTTTCTTTTCAGGAAATTTGTCATAAATCTGACGAATGTCCACTGATTCAAGCAATGGATCACTGTAAGAATGGTTGGCATGCCCAATGTGCACGAAGAGGTGTTTGTTGTACTGTAAGAAAACCACACAGACATTCCCATTACAAATGCTTTGGCCAAGCAAGGACTCACCTGTCATGAACATGATAATAAGCAATAATCTTGCTGTCTAGGACAAAACAGAAGAGGAACTATGCCTTTGAAAAGATGAGAATGTTAAGAAAAGCCATTAGAGCTTGGGGGTCAAAACAATCATTACATTTTACTTACAAGGTCTCTCAGCAAATTATGAGAGATTTTTGCAGAGATAGCAATAAGCAAAATAAGTGCCAAACTACCAAATCAAGAAATAATTCTGATTCTCAGTTTTACCTGTCAATTTCAACTTTGAATGACAGTAACTGTTTGGAGCTCACTTTTCACATCATAAACCCAATGAGAAATATGTGTAGTTGGCTAATGATATGACTCAGTATGCATTTCTAGTACCAGTCCCCCAAACAGCTGTGGAGACACAGTGGTCTAAGCAATAGTACCCACTTCCTTCTTCCAACAAGAGTAACAGTCTCCAGTCACCTTAGTAACTCAGTAACATCCATCTAAACTTCTGTGTTAATGGCTAGTCAGTATATGACTGCCAATGCAAAGTTAGATTTGGGTACAGAACACAGAGAGGACTTACAACGCCATATATGGACATGTTCAAAAGAAGAACACAAGTCACTCATCCACAAACAAGATCCTCAAACTTAAGTTAGCCATTTAACTTACAAAGGACACCCTTTCATTCCCTTTCTTTGTGATAAAATATGACAAATGGACCAACAATGGATTGTGTCCAAATCAACAGGTCTCAACCCAGGCTGCATCCTGATGAGCGCATCATCAAAGCCTGGTCCTCGTTCAGGCTAAACTCAAATCTCTTAAGAATGAGGCAAGGCGGGGCTAGGAAGTTGGCTCAGTGGTAGAGCGCTTGCCTTGCATGCCTGAGGCCCTGGGTTCAATTCCTCAGCACCACATAAGCAAAAACAAAACAAAACAAAAAGCCAGAAGTGGCACTGTGGCTCAAGTGGTAGAGCGCTAGCCTTGAGCTGAAGAGCTGAGGGACAGTGCCCAGGCCCAGAGTTCAGGCCCCACGACTGGACCAAAAAAAAAAAAAAAAAAAGAATGAGGCAAGGCATCAATAATCGTTTTCCTTAAATGAATTCCAATATGCAGCCAACTTTGAGATCTAGAAATTATACTCTAATCTTTCCATGTCTACCTTTCCCAAGAGTAACCATCAATGAAATTGATACAAAGAAACAAACAAATCTAAGGAACAAGAGCTGAGAGTGCTCAGAACCCAATAGGACTCATAATACAAGTCTGTATCCCTTCTTATCTAGCAGTCCATTCTCAAGTAGGCACCGATCAAGTTTCCACATTTATGTCAGAAGTGTGCCATCTATTATCTTTCTGAATTCTTTTTTTTTGGGGGGAGGGGTGTGTGAATGTGAAAATCTTTGTTTTTTGTTGTTATTATAAAGGTAATGCACCAAAAAGGATTACAGTTGTATAAGTCAGGTAGAGTCTACTTCTTTTTGACAATGTCACTCCTTCTCTCACTCTCTCCCAGTTTTTCCCTCCCATCCTACCCACAAGTTGTGTAGTTCATTTTCAACAGTGTCTAGTGAGTACCACTGCTGTACTCTTCTGAATTTTAATCTTATAGAACACCTCAAATAACAGAAGGTTCAGTCAAAGTTGCCTGTAAGACTCAATATTGGTTAAGATTGTGGTGTCTAGACTCAAGACTGATTAAGTAAAAGACTCCGCCCACTGAAAATTAGCTATGACAGCAGGTAAATTTCTCCATTGTCTCTACAATGGAGGCAAGGATGCATCTATTTTATAGGATTGTTATAGGGTTTAAATAAGAAACTACATTAAGAATTATGAGGGAAGCTTGTACTGGTGGCTCATACCAGTAATCCTAGCTACTTAGAAGGCTGAGATCTGCGGTTCACAGGCAAGAAAGTCAGTGAGACTCTTATCTCAATTAACCACCAGAAAACCAGAAGTGGCACTGTGGCTAAAGTGGTAGAGCGCTCCCCTTGAGCTGAAGAGCTGAGGGACAGTACCCAGGCCCAGAATTCAAGCCCCACGACCACTACCACCACCACCAACAACAACAAAAAAAATTATAAGGGATACTAGATATACTGAAGAGGAAGCATTTTTAAAAATTCCCTTTAAGACTCTGAGACAGTGTGTATCAGCTCATTAAAAAGTACATTAAGAGCTGGGAGCCACTGGTTCATTCCTATAATTGTAGCTGAGGATCTCCTGGGCAGAAAAGTCCATTAGCTTTTATCTCCAATAAAACACTAAGAAAAAGCTGGAGTGACACTATGGCTTAAGTGGTAGAGTAATAGCCTTGAGCAAAAGAAACTCAGGGACAACACCCAGGCCCTGAGTTCAAGCCCAAGAACTAGGAAGAAAAAAAAGTGCATTAAAAGCACTATTTAGCTGGCCCAGTGATTAATCCCAACTCCTTGGGAGGTAAGATCAAGGGATTACTGTTTCAATCCAGTTCCAGGCCAGTCCTGGCAAAAGAAGTTTTCAAGACTCCATCTCAAACAACTGTTGGACATAGTGGTATGTGCCTATCATCCCCAGCTACAATGGGAAATGCAAGTAGGAGGATCAAGGTTCAGGCCATCCCAGGCTCAAGGCAAAACAGCCAATACAAAAAGCAGTTAGCAGTGTGCAAGTGTGAGGCCCTGAATGCAATCTCTAGTACTGCTTTAAGTCAATAAATAAATTGTACCACCACAAACAAATATTTTAAAACCTTGTTTCACAAATTCAATTAGTTATCAAGCCCCGTGAATACATATCCTGAGGAAATGCTGGTTTAAATTCATGATCTGCTAGCCATGCCCTGACTTCCTAGCCACAATGTAGAAAGGCCAGACACTGGATACCTCACTTGATACTCACAAATGGGAAGTGTAGCCAGGCCAGCATCTTCTAAATTTTATCAAGTATTCCAAGACCTGACTACGTTACAGAGCTAGCACTAGGACTAGATACCTGTCTGGTGGCTTCAGGGAAGACTGAGAACCTGTGATTCAATACAGAAGAGAGTGCCTGAGGTAGATATATATAAAGCCACGCAAAGCCATGTGCTATGGGGGTATGTTAGGTCTTTTTATAGATTTTTCTCAAGTGCTGCCACACCATCCTTTCAATTACAAGAAAAGACAAAGAAAGATACAAATGAGACACAGTCACAGCTATGAAGGAGCATCTAGTCTCAGTGGGAAAAAGGTAAAACAACAATAACAACAGAAATAATCACCCACCACATTAGGGGTATATCTCAAGTGACAGAGTACCTGCTTGCACAGCAAGTTTGGTTTTTTTTTGTTTTTTGTTTTGTGAGTTTTTTGGGTTTTTTTTGTCAGTTGTGGGACTTGGAACTCTAGACCTGGGCACTGTCCATCAGATCTTGCATCTCAAGGCTAATGCTCTATCACATGAGCCACAGCGCCATGTCTAGTTTTCTGAGTGGTTTATTGGAGATAAGAGTCTCATGGACTTTCCTACCCAGGCTGTCTTTGAACCGAGAACCTCAGATCTCAGCCTCCTGAGTAGCTAGGATTACAGGCATGAGCCACTGGCGTCCAGCAACACAACAAGTTTTTTGTTGTTGTTGTTTTGGGTCCAGTCGTGGGCCTGAACTCTGGGCCTGGGCGCTGTCCCTCACCTCTTCAGCTCAAGGCTAGCGCTCTACCACTTGAGCCACAGTGCCACATCCGGCCCTTTTTTTTTCTGCTTATGTGGTGCTGAGGAATCGAAGCCAGGGCCTCATGCATGCAAGGCAAGTGCTCTACCACTGAGCCACCTTCCCAGCCCCACAACAAGTTTTGAACCCTAAGTTTCAAACCCCAATAACACACATACACACATATATACAAAGTTGGAGCCCAGACACTCAGAAATGCAAAGGTGCGTGTGGGAGTCAAGGGCAAAAGACAGGTGCTGTCTTACTTTTATTAATAACCTATGCTTAGCTAGGCACTGGTAGTGGCTCATGCCTGTAATCCGAGCCTGCTCAGGAGTCTGAGATCTGAGGACCATGGTTCAAAGTTAGCCTGGGCAGAAAAGCCCCCATGAGACTTTTATCTCTAATTAACTACTCAAAAACCAGAAATAGTGCTGTGGTTGGAAGTGGTGGAACACTAGTCTTGAGCAAAAGAGCTCAGGGACAGTGCGCAGGCCTTGAGTTCAAGCCCCTTAACCAACCAACCAACCAACCAACCAACAAACAAAAAACCCTGTGCTTAGAGCTAACTCCTCACCACACCCAGTTCTGAGAGTTCTATCAGTTGTGTTGCCTCTTGTAGGCAGTGAGTTTATGGGAAAGAATAGATCCCAGTAGAGTCACATGAAACTTGTGAATTGAATCCAAGATCCCAGTACTCCCAGTACTTCTGCTCACCAACTGGGCTAGGACAGAGAAACAGTGAAGCCAAGAAGCCATGAGGCCTGAAATCTTCTTGTTTTTAACACTGAAGTCTCCCTGCCCTTTACTGTTGGAACTCAGGGACCCTGGCTCTGACCAGTCCTTGTCAAGATGTCAGGAAGGAGAACCAGAAATAAATTTTACTATACTTAAACAGGACCAAGTAGGTAGAGCTGAAAAACACAATTATGAGAACACAAAATGAAAATTCTGGAGCCAGACCTAAACTTTAAGGTTTTTCATACATACTATAGGGATACAATACCTGTTAAACCGAATGGCTCTGAAGATTAGAAGAATAACACGTACATGGTACTTGGCACAGAGTCTGGCAGAAAGGGAACATTTGATGAACTATATCTGCTAACATTACTATAGCAATGGTTATTATCATGTGAGATTAACTAGATCCTGGGGTAGAAACAAAAGAGTATTCCTGCTTTAGATATCTCACCTGTCTAGCAGGGAAAAAATAAACATGAATGGGCCAAGTGCAGGAAACAATTGTAAAGCCATAAGCCGATTCAAATCCTTGATTATAGCCCCCATATCCAGCTGCT